CCCCCCCCCCCCCCGTCTTCTGTCTGAAAAGCCTGGAACAAGTCTGCAAGTCCGTCTCATGTTAGAAGCAACATTCTCACCAGTAAGAAACCAGCTGAGAAATCGGTGTGAAAATGCCCTGTGAGTCTGTAGGTCTGGGGCTACCCACATGAGGCCATGATCCTGGCCATAGCCCCACACCCCCAGGCTCCTGTCTGAGTTCTTGAATGTCACTGTTCTGCAAGTAACCTGCCTCGAGCCTGTGGCAAGTGTCCTTTGTGAGCACTGGCCCAGGGGCTCGAAGGTCTTGGCCCTCGGGTTCTGAGCCTGTGTGGAAGCTGCCTGTGAAGGACCTGACACAGGGCCAGACCTCCCAGAGCTCGTCGGGGGTGGAGGAGTCGGGCAGCCTGCTCGGAATGGGTATGAAGAGCTGTTCTTGTGAGAGCAGGCTTGCTGGATGGGTGAGGCCAGAGTCTGGCCTGAGCCCTTTGTAGACAGGCTGAGGGGATGCAGGGGAGGGGCTGATTGGCCTCAGCCCTGGCCCCACACAGTCTCACAAGTGCACAGTCTCACAAGCGCAGGCCACAGTAGCTGAGTGGGCCACTTCCCTGGGCTGGGTGGGGCAGGCAGGACGGTCTCTGCTGGCCTCAGGGCGTGGGAGGAAGTTTCAGGCAGGTGGGGTGGAGAGGTGCATGGTGCACTAGAGCACAAGGGTGAGAAGGGCAGTGCGGGGCCATGCAGCCACGGTGCAGGAAGGACTGGCTGCTAGAGGCCGTCACCTGCCTGGATTCACAGAGCAGCTGTGGTTGATGCCTGCAATGCTGCATGGCTGCAGCCTCCCTTGGCCCCAGGAATGGGTGTTGCTGTTCCTGCTGCATGGGGCCTGCTCCTGCTAGGGCAGATCACACTCAGCACCTTTCTTGCTCGTGAGGCTTTATTTCCCAGTGGGTCAGTGAAGCAGTAGGGTGCTGGTCAGGGTCCCCAGCCTGGCTCCTTCCTGCACTGCTCCATGTGACTGTCACACTGGTGCTGGCTAAATTGACAAAAGGCATGGTGTGCTGGGGTTCCCGGCAGGTCCTGAGTTGCTTGCTTCAGACTTGTTCTCTGGAGGGGCAAAGCCAGCACAGTGCCAGCTCAGCCAGGCCTCCATGGCACTGAGAGATGAGCACCTACATGATACAGCTCATGCCACCTCCCGTCGTCCCTGCCTGGAGATGGGACTGGAGCACGTCCCTTGCTTCCAGCTGCTGGTGTGACCTGTGCATTAGGCACAGCTGGGACTTGGGCAGTTGAGCTAAGACGTGGCTGGACAGACCTTGGCCCCTCCCTGAATCTGGGGCTGCAGCAATGCTGCCCCATTGCTTTCTTCCCCAGCCCTCCTGTCTCAGAGTCAGCTCAGAGCTGGAGTCAGCACACTTGGGGAGAGAGACCTCTTGGGCCAAAGCGCAATGGTGGAAGCAGGTCTGCCACACTGGTCCTTGGGCAAGGAGCTCTGGAGGTGGCTGCACAAGCGACTGAGAGATCTCGTGGCCAAATCCTCAATGCAGGACAGTAGCAGTGAGGGCAAAATAGTTGACTGGGATAATGGAGAGGGGCTGGGGTGGCTGCTGTGGAACATGCGCTGTCTTGCTGTGGAGCATGTCCTTGCTCGAGGAGTTGGTGTCCCTGGAACCATCCCAGCTTCCCTGACTTCATAGATTTCATAGACATTTGGGCTGGAAGGGACCCCGGAGGATCATCGAGTCCAACCACCTGCCCCAGGGGCAGGAAGTCAGCAGGGATCATAGGATCCCAGCAAGATAAGCATCCAAATGCGTCTTGAAGGCGTTCAAAGTGGGTGCTTGAACCACCTC